GTGAAATAATGCTTCGATTTTCAACCTCAGTATCTTGTTCGATTGGAAAGTGAATATCGTTGGTGCATTAGGGAGATCAAAATTTAAAACTCCCAGTAGTTTTCAAAAGCGCCAAGAAAAACCAAAGAAAAATTAAGGAAAAACGGGAATTTTTACGAAAAATCGATTTTTCACAAAATTGAGTTTGGTTTATGTTGTAACTTAAAAAAAATGACCTTAGATACATGACATTTTCACTGGTTGTACCTATATATTTGCATCTTCTATACACGAATAAATATTTTGATTTATTTTGAACTGTTTTGGGACATTTTCATTTTCCATTTTTTTTTAGTTTTTTTTAAAAAAGCTTGAAAATTTAATAGAAGGCTCCTAGTATATTGTTTCATAGGCAGATGAAAAATATTAAAATTCCTTAGTCACAGTTTTTTTTTATAAGCATTAAAGTTCAAAAATTGACAAAATATGGAAAAATCACGAAAATTAGCAAATTATTTTGAGTTAAGAATTCGTAAAAAATGTTCTTTTTAAATCTAAGATTTAAAAATGTAATACAAGATAACTCATAAGTTTGTCTACCATTATCAAAAAAAAAAATCTCTACCGGAAAGTCAAACTAAATTTTTATGAGCGTTTGAAATTCAAATTTTTACAACATTGGACATTCACTCGATTTCTCTTGTAGCGATTTCCTTATTTTGTTGTAATTCAAAAACGAATAATTAGCATTTCCTACACACCATACAATTTTGAAAATATTTTGACTCTTTTTGAGCTGTTTACGGACATTTACAGCTTTCAATTTTTTTTAGTTTTTTTTTTTTATAGATATCAATAAAGTTTTATCTGTTGGGCCGAAAAGTGTAAAAATGTAATATAATGCTGATATATTGTTACAATAGCAGTTGAAAAATATTAAAAATAAATAGGCACAGTTTTTTTCTTATAAGTATTTAAAGATCAAATTTTGACAAAATGTATCAAATTTAAAATTGAATAATTATTTTGTAGTTAAAAATTTATAAAATGTTCAACTTTTATATCTAAGGATTGAAAATTTAAAACAAGATTCCCCGTAAGTATTTAATTCTGTTACCAAAAATTCTAAAAAAATACAGAAGCACAGTTTATTTTTATAGTCATTTTAAGTTCAAATTTGGACGTAAATACATAATAAAAAACCTAGAATAACTATTTTAGTTATTTTGTTGTGATTGTGTAATATTATTCGTGGGTAGGTACTTGAAACTTCTAAAGTACACTATTATATATCTATTGAGTATGGACTATGATGGTATCAGAGTTTGTTGTTGACGTATAACGCATTTTAAGTACCTAATGGATATTGTGATATGATTAATTTGGAATTTATTAAAGGAACCTATTTTAGGTAAATTTTTTTTAATACGATAGATAAGTTTATAATATGTCTTATACCTAGTCTGGTATACCGTCTCCGATCAGAATCATTTTTCTTATACAATGATGATATTATATCATTGAATTCAAACTTAATACCATCCATTATACAGTGACCCACTTCACACTTGTAACCTATACAGTACAGCAGATCACCTTTTTTTATATTTAATTAATTAATATTTATTTATATATTGTTACATTTTAATATAAATTCAGGTATAAAGTAAATATGTTTTATGTTTCGTTTCAATATATAAATGTATAAATATAATGTATTTACTATTTATATTATACTATAATTATATCAATACATTTATATAATTATTTTATTATAATAAACTACCTATATCAACATTAAAAGAATAAAATATTAAGAAAGGTTTTCTGTTATATCTATAGATCCACAAATAAATATATCATATTTTTTGGATGTTTTATGTTTTGCCACAACCCCTCATGAAAAATAGTTCCTGCTCCATTGTGAGTAAAAAATAATGCAAGTTATTTACTCAGATAAAACCCTAACCGAACTAAAATCCTGCGTACGCTATACTGTTGGTTTACCAAGCGTGCATTAAATCGGATTGTCGCTTTACTTATAGCCGCTCATCGATGGTGTTAGCTATTTGATATTATGTTGTCGCACCATGATTAAAGGTATATCTTTAATCGTGTCTCGCACATTGTCCGCGATCCGACGTAGTAGGATTGCCTACCAGGGTCTCTGAATTGCAATTACTGCTGCGAGTTACATCCAAAAAGATTTTAACTACCACAATTTTTTAAAGAGTTGTCATTTTGTATGAGCAACGAAGTACTCTGGATCAGCCAGGAGTATAATTATACTAATAGTATAATAGTATATTAATACCATATAATTTATATGGCAAAAAAACGTTTGCCGGGTCACCTATAGTATAATTATTAACTATATGTCTATATATAAAAGATAAAACTATATTACATAATATATGACTATAATAATATGCTTACACTCGGGTGTCGGGTGATGAACGTTAATGTAAACTAACTCAAAAGTCAAAATGCATCACTTTCATAACCCACAGGTACAAATGGGTATAGGTACTAGCATTAATTATTTTTATTATTTATACTAGGTATGTATAATCTTTGGTACTAGGTACAATAGGTATGTTAAAGTAGTTCATAGAGTGAAATACGTTAGGGCTCATACAAATTACCAATGTACTACCATTACCTTTATAATGTGTAAAAAATATTTATTTAATGTTAAAGCAAAATCACCCATTTTTATAAATTTATAAGAAAAAAAAGATTTAGTGTGATTCATATAATATTATACATTTTTATTAGTTTTTAACGTATTATATTGCAGTACCTATTGATTATGTCTTAAAGTTTAATATAGTTAATGTGTCTTATACTCTTATATGTGATACATAAATTGAATATGGATAGGTATAGACATTAATAATCATTAACTCGAGTTGTATAGCTTATGGTAAGTATCTACTATAATTATTGTACTAATGCACTATTACAAAATATGTATATCACCCATGTGTTCCACAAAACCTACAGTTTCACCCCCCTCCCAATGGCCTATGTTGTTGCGGGATAATTAATAAAAAAAAAATAAAAAAAAATGTATATGAGGTTGATCTAAATTCTACGTATTATCAGGAAAAAAATGTAGGTAATAAATAGTTATAAATTATATAAATGCAAATGCCCAGGTCAAATTATTTGGGATCGTCATAATTTTTAAAAAAAAACTTCATGCACCGATACCAGTCAAAAAACGGAAAATTAATTTTATTTATATACTTATATATTTTTCTTAATTATTTAATTTTAGAAAAATATAAATTTTAAATTAGATAGGAATGTAGTAAAGTACCTAATTACAAAGCAGGTTTGCAATTTTTGGATACAACAACAAAGAAATGTGTATGGTTTTGTTCTGTATTTTAAATTTATATATCTAAAATAGTGTACAGTATTTTTTATAAATTTAGATTGATAATTACGATATACCTAGTTAAATGTGTGCATTGTGGAGTCTAGACCCTAGGGACTAGGACTTATCTAGTGACTGTGACACTTGGACCTCATCATTACAATGAAAATTAAATCAGAATAATATAATTATTGACACTAACCATGTTAAAAGTTATTTTTTAATGAAGTTGGGGAGTAAACTGTAAAGGCATAAATAATTCTCTACTAACTTGAATTTTAAAAATGCCGCCAGTTATAAATGTACCTAGATGTGTCAAACAAGCAGGGATCTATAAATGTCAGTGGATCTAATTGACGCGGGATCATTTTGTCTCGGGATCTGAATGACTCGGACCTGGTATCAATTCTTATCAGAATGGTTACCGGGATCTCGATGACGCGGGATCTATTTGTCAGCATACCCGGACTAAGATATACAGGACTGGAAACGAGATAGTCATCTATGGAACTACAGTGTAACGCTTCTGGTACAAGTGCGATTTTAACGCCCTCTATGATCCATTCTACGAAATATTAATACATCAGTGTCCAGCACGAATTAAGATTTTGGCATTTGAAATTGCTTCATTCCAAGCAGTTAAATTAACCACATCTTTTGGACTTTTAAATAAAGTGTATTTTTTTCCCTCTGAACATCCCGTACAGCCATCCACAGAGCATTTTCTCGGCATTTTAGCGAATAATAAATGGATAATATAGTTGGTAAAATGTAATGTACATTAAGGGCCGCTTTCACCAATACTTTAAACTCCGATTAAAGTTAAACCGGGGTTTAATCGGCCGAATTTGCCCGGTTAAATATCTGTTATCAGTCGATTAAGCGTAATCGAAGTTTAAAGTATTTGGTGAAAGCGGCCCTAAATACTAAATGCTAATACCTAAGAGCTAATAGGTGCGTACGAATCACGGACTAAGATAGAGTCACAATAGAGTTATCTTAGTTTATCTTATTCCGTGGTATAAATGTATTAAACTATTGTACCTAATTTTATTATAAACAGAAATAATATGCAAATAAATATATGTGTAACAAATGCTAAATATTATCAATAGATAGAGCCACATTTGTCCATGTACTACAAGCGTTACACTATGGTTCCGGCTACCCGCACTCCTCCCGTCTATCGTTTCCAGTCCTGTTTATCTTAGTCCGTGATCAGGGCATCACACTAGTATCATTGTTCTATGGCAGTATAGGACAACGGCACAATAATTAAATAATAATAATAATCAAATAACAATAATTCTTTTGTAAAATAGAAAGTGATCAGCTTAGAATTTCTGATATCAGAGAGCGCTATCTATTATCATCACTTAGCGATTAGATATTAATATCTTATCACTTTTCTTGACTGTTAAATAATAAATAATTTCAAATATTAGGTATTTTGAATTTTAAAATTCAAATTGACTTGAGATCTTAGATTTTCATCTTTTAGTTTTTAGTTTTTACTTCTATCAATATCAATGAGCTGTATGTGTGAATTGTGTAACACAAACATAACGTGTTTAATAAGTTGTATGAACATATACAGGTAGTGTATACCCACCTAGATGTTACATAAATAATAATTATGGCTACTGATTTTGAATGCTTGAAATGGAATACAACAAGTTTCAAACCATCCAATGGTAATATATTAAATTAAAAGTCATATTCTATAATATTAAGTATTAACCTATTCTTTTTTTTAGTTTTGGACCAAACAGAATACACTTTAGCGCTGAAACCGTCACATTGGTTAAACCTGAAGACAAAGGGCCACTCAATTAAACTGTCATATTTAGGATTGACACAAAGATTAGCATCTTTAGACAATCTGAATAATTTATATGTTTATGATTGGTCCAGAGCTGATTTAAAAACTATAAAGTAATATATATATATAAAATAATTGTATTTTGTTTAAGTAGGCTTGTAATTTTCCATCTGCTTTCCACAGGACAAAATATGAACATAATAGTAAACTTACAAATTTGACAAGCAATTCTTTAGGAAATCAAATAGTTACATGTTCAGATAATGGAAAAATTCAAATATGGAACCATAAAGTATTATTTGTTTAAATTTACACAGCGTGATTTTTTTTTTTAACAAAGTATTTTTTAGTTGTCAAGCTGGAAGATTTTAGCTGAATTCAGGGGTCATTATCAGTGTGTACGGAATGTTCAGTATTCTGTCGACAATAATTATTTAATATCTTGTTCAAATGATAAAACATTTAAAATATGGGATTGTCAATGTAATAAGTTTTTAGCTAGTAATATGTTTCATCGTAATTGGGTGAATATAGCAAAGTTTTTCAAAGAAGACAAACTTGTGGTTTCCTGTTCAAGAGATTCGTATGTACAAATTTTTGATTGTTGTTCAGGAAAATGTGTTGCAAAGTACAACTTGAGTCCAGGTAAATAAAAAATAAATAACTACTAATCAAAAATTTAAATTTAAATATTTCTATACGTGTATGTCTATTAGATTTTGCAGAATCACTTTCACTAAAAGAAGAGTTCTCAATAGCGGTGGGTACAAACCAAGGGTCTGTACAAATTTTTGATTTGAGAGCTTTAAAAGTTTTACAAAAATACAATGAACATACGAGTCAAGTAAATTGTGTTCAATTTCAACATAAGACTCCGTGTTTGGTATCCGTTTCAAAAGATAAAAAATTAAATGTAAGTAACTCTATGTCTGATAAACAAAAATAAATAATAACTAGTTGTTTTTTTTATTTTAGGTTTACGATACTAATGAAGGAAGATTTTTGTATTCAATTGATCACTTCAATGAAATAAGATCAATGAATATTTCTTTGGACGATAAATTACTTGCAACAACATCGTTTCATTTTGAAAATGAGGTAATAAACAATAGTTAGTCTTACAATAGTAAGCAAAAAATAATAACTATATTATATTTTATTTTTCAGATTACTTTATGGACAACTGAGACACTGTAATTTTAAAGGTTTAATACATTTCACGTTTTAATATTTATATGGTTTGTTAATTTTGTGTGTACATATATATATATTTTATTTATTTATTAAAAAATTAGATACTTCAAAAAAAATTGTGTTTTATTTTATATAAAATATAGTGTACCAATTATAAAATTAGATAAACTAAATGAAACTGGGTAAAAAAATATCTAGGAATATATATTAAGTCCCAATTAAAATAGAGCATACATATAAACTGTATCATAAATTTAGGTCGTAAATTCTTTTATGTTTTTAAAGGCCTAAGGTTTATTCTTGATAAACAACAACTTAGAATTATTTATGTTTTCTTCATTCAATCAATAATTGTATTTGGTATTGATATACCTATGAGGTGGTGCTTATGAAATCCACTTGAACAAATTAAAATCGACTATAAATAAATTTATTAAATTTATTTTAAAAGTTCCTATTCTTACTTGTACTAAATGTATTATTAAAGAATTAAATATCTTAGATTTTGGTAAGATTCTCACTAAATGTATTTTACTATTAAGTTTTAAGCATCAAATGTATTTACCAACTTATTAATAATAATATTAATTGGCCAAAAATTGAATATTAATTACATAGTTAAATGGCCCATCTCACCACTGAGGATAACCTCTTATCGGTGATGATGGAGTACTATTTAAAGATGAGTTTGAATTTATAAATTTTATAATATTTTCATAATGTTTTGTATAAACTGCATCATATTTGACTATAATTCAAAACCATAAACTTGTAAGCATAACTATAATACCAAATTTAAAAAAATATATAAATACAATTGTAATTAAATTTGCCTAAATCATAAAATTTTGCTTAGTAGAAAAATGGTAATAAATATTAATCAATTCGCTTATTTATTATAAACATATTTTACAATTTTCTATAATTAAGAAGATTAATTTTGTATGAATTTTTACGAAATACAATGTATATATAATTAATATTATTTAAGTATTAATCAAGTATTTATAGACATTTTTTATTACTTTTTAACTATATTATGAACTCAAGCATTAGCTTAAAGCAGAGGTCGGCCACTGGCAGACTACGTAAACCAAAACACTGGACCCCGTCAACATAATATTGTACTTGATTATGTTATTTACTGTAAAAGTATATGCTATGTATTATTATTATTATATTATTTTACTATAATTATTAATAGAAAATATATATTTCATTTCGTTTATCAAACTCAGATTATAGTTGTATCATAATTCATTGCAAATATTTTTTCAGGTAGGTAATAATCTGTTCTGTTTTATTACAATAACCGAATCGCGAAAATACTAAATATACAGATAGCGTTAAATTATTATTATTATTTACCTAATAGGTATTGTAATTTTTTAATATAAATTAATTGGAATACCAACTGGATAATTATTTTTAATTTCATACTGCTATTTTATCAATATAAAGATTTGACAAAGATTAACACTGGACCTCATTGATTTATTTTTTGCGCCCCGGATAACCATATTTTTAAGCCCCAACCCCACCAAAAAATAGATCCACTTTTTTGATTTTTCTTAGTACACTTTAATTGTCAATTAGTCATGTTTTAATTACTATTATTAAAATGTAGGTATAAGGTATAACAAAATATAGTATATTATTATACACAGTAAAAAAAATCTACAAAAAAGAATATAATAGGTATAATGATTATAATTTTTTTTCAAAATATTACCCCATCAAATTATGGTACAAATCATAGTAGAAGTTCTTTCCAAAAAAATATTTATTGTTACAATATTACACTGGACTACAGAGCCACAGCGGTGACCGGCTGCCCCCCTAAATATTTGGCCGCAAATGTCCCCGTTGCCCCCCTCATAAATATGGGCTAGTACATAGCATTCCATGTGACATCTCCACCACACAACTTAATTTTTTCCATGATACACACTTACAGTCACAAATTAGATATCCAATAGACAACAGTAAACATTTTTTCACAGTTAGTATTTGCTAGAACATAATTTAAAAATGAGTTTATTGTGTATACCCTATAAAAATAGGAATAATTTCAATGTTTGCAAAAACTTGGTATGTGATATAGTACATAACATTTAATCTCTAGTATTATTATGGTGTAGTATATCAACTAAAATTGATTTAGTTTTGCAATTAAGTACCTACCAATATGTGCACTTATAACTTTTTACCCACTTAGATCTCTTAGTGATGTGTGTTTCAAGTGTTAAGTGCACTTTTTCCTTTAAAAAATAAAACAGAATTTTTAAAAATTGGCAATAAAGTGGTTTTTAGAATTATACAATAATATTTGAACCGCCCCAAAATTATACGATAATTTTTGAATATAAAAATAAATATTTTCACGAAATATAATATAAATTAATTATAATAATTTGTAGGGAAGTTTGTTTTCTATTGTTTTCTATGTTGGTACAAATGTTCGGGAATTTACTGGTTTTTTTTTTTTTTCCTCGCCATGAAATTTCGGGAAAAGTATCTGATGCGGATGCCCATGGTTACAAACCGTTGGATTTAGAAATTTAGAATTAGAATGTTTCATCTACCATATTTTTACTCAACCATATTATTTTTCAATATTTTATTTTTTTTAAATTAAAACTATGGTTGATCGAACAACCGAAACTTTCAGTCGATTAGTGTCTGAACACAGTAAGGTTCGGAAACAAAACTTGGACCATATATTAAATGTCGTGGGTGACGAAAAATGGAAATCGTTAAATCATTTACTGACTGCCATGACTAAATGTTGTCGTCAACCAAATCATGTTGCAGCAAATCATGTGAGAACTATATAATAATATATAAATTAATTACCAGCATGTACTGCATTTTTTGGTGAATGCTCAAGAAGTTCATTTAGAAATTTTTCAATGTACAACTCGTAAAACAATTTTTGGGATTCTGATTCACAAGGATCTCATGCTTGTGCAATTGCTTGAATAACTTGAAGTAAATATTTTTCAAATACAGTATCACATACTTCACATATTTCTAGTTTTTTTAGAAGATTAATAATAGATCTTATTAAACCGTTGGATTTAGAATTAGAATGTTTGATCTACCATATTTTTACTCAACCATATTATTTTTCAATATTTTATTTTTTTAAAATTAAAACTATGGTTGATCGAACAACCGAAACTTTCAGACGATTAGTGTCTGAACACAGAAAGGTTTGGAAACAAAACTTGGACAATATATTAAATGTCGTGGGTGACGAAAAGTGGAAATCGTCGAAGGAGTTTATGCTGGCAGTAACAACATTCGTGTACCCATGCTTCTTCGATCCAGATCAAGAATGTCGCGAAACGACCATAAAAATTGTGAAGACTCTGGTAGGCACTGGGACTGGGTGTGTTGAAGACATATGTCCCATTATTTGTGTCATACAAAACTGTATCGCACCAAAATACCAATTTATGGGAGAAAGGATTAAAGGAAGGAAAAAGTCAGGATTTTGTATGTAGAATTGCTGAGAGACATCATCAAAAATTACGAGCAGTTGAATTTTCCATGTTTGGACGACATTAGTGAAATTTTAAGTAAAAGCATATTAGACACATGTCCTGAAGTAATAAAAGACAGTTGTCTGTGTGCAGCAGAATTAGCTGTTGCCAATAAACAATATTTTCATTTGGTGGCTGATTTCCTTGTTGAACCCCTTTTAAAAGCAACAAATTATGATCAATCTATTGTTAATTATACAGCAATCATTTCACTAGGTAAATTGATCACGTTTTAAATTTAGTTTGTATAAATATGCGTACATACTACATAATAAATTGTATGGATGTATGTTTTAGATGATGTCATTATGTACAGTAATGGAAAACAAGTTCCAGAGGTATGCACTTCTATCAGTAGTATACTTTTTGATCAAGATGTTCACATACGATTAGCTATCTACCGTGTTGTATCCAATTGGATGTTAAACCTACGTGATAGATATTCATATTTTCCAAATCTCATTCGTTTGATTTTGAAAGCGTAAGTTTTCTATCATACATTTCCAAAAATGTTGATATTTATTGAATCAGTTTATGTTTCTTATCGGTGTATATTATTTAACATTTTTTTTTTAGTCAAGTTGATGGTTATCTACCAAACCGTGAGGAAGCTGAACGTCTGTGGGATGAAATTGGAAATCAGTATATTAATGAGAATATAGTACAGTTCAGGGAAAAATTAGATTGTTTACCTGAAAATTTAGATCACTATCCTCCTAATGGTTAGTGTATTTTACATATAAAACTGTACATATACTTAAATCAATTAATGAAAAATTTTAATAAATAACCTAATAATATCAATATTTTATAATATTTCAGTTAAAAGACCAAATGTGGGTTGCCGTTCGTTAGTTGCTGGAGAAGTGTAGAAGTGTTTTTCAAAGAAGACAAACTTGTGGTTTCCTGTTCAAGAGATTTGTATGTACAAGTTTTTGATTGTTGTTCAGGAAAATGTGTTGCAAAGTACAACTTGAGTCCAGGTAAATAAAAAATAAATAACTACTGATCAAAAATTAAAATTAAAATATTTCTATACGTGTGTGTCTATTAGATTTTGCAGAATCACTTTCACTAAAAGAAGAGTTCTCAATAGCGGTGGGTACAAACTAGTGATGGGCACTATCGAATAGTTTACACTATCGAATAGTATTCGATAGTTTTTTTAAACTATCGAATACTATTCGAATGTTTTTAAGTATAACCGATTAGTAGTTTTTCAATAAAAACTATCGAATAGTTGGATAAACTATCGAATAGCACTATCGAATAGTCTATTCGAATAGCACTATCGAATAGTCTATTCGAATAGCACTATCGAATAGTCTATTCGAATAGCGCTATCGAATAGTTTGATAGTCTATTCGAATAGCGCTATCGAATAGTCTATTCGAATAGCACTATCGAATAGTTATTTTTATACGGACTATTTTGAATTTTGATATTTCAAATTTAAATTCATAATTTATTTCTTGACCACCTGACGTTTTACTTTTTAGCGATGAATCATTGTCCCCACATAAACACGTATTCCAATTTCCAAAGCTTAAGATCGATAAACAATTTTTTTTTAATAATGCATACAATTTAATAAATAATAAAAAATAATACCAAGTAATAAATAGTAAATATTAAATACTAATTAAGTGACCATGACGTGATCTTTACTCTTTAGTATTCTTTACAATAAAATTTATCTTAATTAATATATTTTAATTTAATATATTAATATATTAATATTAATACATAAAAAACTAACTTATGATTTGATAATTCACTTTAAAATTGAGTTTTTTCTTTTTCCTTTTTATATTTAATATTCTTATGTTCAAACAAAAGTCTAACTTAAAGAAAAAAATACCATAACTTTTATAAAAATGTAATTTTGTATTGGTCTATAGAAAATTTTAAAATATAAGCTGTAGAAAATTATCTTTACAAATTACTAATTAATAATTATACATTAAAATTTAGAAAGTAAATACATTTTTTGTTCATAGAGATATTTGAAGAACTCTAAAATTTAAATTTGATGTAATTTCTTCTATGGATAAAAATACATTTTTATTTTTTATGTATCAAATATAAGATAACAAACAAGTTAAAACTTAAAAGTTACAACCAATCAAAATTAAAATGAATAAAAAATAAAAATTATTCGATTAACTAAACTATTGAATGAAAAATTGAAAACATTGAAAACTATTCAATAAACTAATAATAAATAAACTTTCGAAATAAATAAACATTCGAATGAAAAATTTAAAACTACCTATTCGATAAACTATTCGAATGAAAACTATTCGATAAACTATTCGATAAACTATTCGAATAGACTATTCGATAGTTTTAAAACTATCGAATATATGGTGACTATTCGAATGTTCGATAGTTTTGGAATGACTATCGAATAGTTCGAATAGTGAACTACTATCGAATAGTTCGATAGTGACTATTCGATAGTTCCCATCACTAGTACAAACCAAGGGTCTGTACAAATTTTTGATTTGAGAGCTTTAAAAGTTTTACAAAAATACAATGAACACACGAGTCAAGTAAATTGTGTTCAATTTCAACATAAGACTCCGTGTTTGGTATCCGTTTCAAAAGATAAAAATATAAATGTAATTAACTCTATGTCTGATAAACACAAAATAAATAATAACTAGTTGTTTTTTTATTTTAGGTTTACGATACTAATGAAGGAAGATTTTTGTATTCAATTGATCACTTCAATGAAATAAGATCAATGAATATTTCTTTGGACGATAAATTACTTGCAACAACATCGTTTCATTTTGAAAATGAGGTAATAAACAAAAGTTAGTCTTACAATAGTAAGCAAAAAGTAATAACTATTTTATATTTTATTTTTCAGATTACTTTATGGACAACTGAGACACTGTAATTTTAAAGGGTTTAATACATTTCACGTTTTAATATTTATATGGTTTGTTAATTTTGAGTGTACATATATATATATATATTTTATTTATTTATTAAAAAATTAGATACTTCAAAAAAAATTGTGTTTTATTTTATATAAAATATAGTATACCAATTATAAAATTAGATTAACTAAATGAAACTGGGTAAAAAATAAGAAATAATTTTGAACCATACAGCAAACTTTGAAACCAGTTTTTCATTTTAATTTCAAATTTAAGATATTTTTTTTATATATAAGGTTTTAAAACAAATTGCCAGTACAAACGTTGCTATATTTGTCAAATAGTCCCTTTACACCCTGTACATATAAAATTATAACTTAAAATAATTTAGTTGCTTTAAGATTATATTATTTTTTAAACCAGTGATCTGTATTTTAAAAATTTTTTTGAAAGCTATTTCAACAAGATTAACAACTATTTTTCAAAGCAATGATATTTTAAGAATGAAAGTGTGCCGACCGATATCAGCCTCCTGCATTGCTTCATTAAATATACCAAATTGTTTTCATCAAATGCATTCATCTTTTATAAATTAAATTTGATGTTCTAGTATTATAAATTAATTACTATTTGCTTATAATTATATTTCCATTGCAATGATAGACTTTAACCTACACAGTACCTATCTATACATACCCATATTGGTTATTTTTTACCACATTTTTTTTACTTATAAATCTCATACAGGAATACCTATTGCACTTTGTAGCTAATATTTTTCAACCGAAGGAATCCTAATACTCGACAGTTTGAAGTACTTTTTTTATAGTTAATATTTACCCTTCGTCTGTCTTCAATTTAAGTTCTAAAATGTTTAAACATTTATTTATACCCAGTATCCACTTTTCAATAACCGCCAAGGTTTTCATATAAATTCTAAATGATCAATATACATATATTTTTTTTTTCAACTCCTATTGCATAGGTTCCATTAAAAAAAGAAGTCATATAACAGAACTGAATAACAAGTTACCAAAACTTGTGTCCCGCACCAAGATTTTTTTTTAAATTATTGCTGGGAGTCGACGAGATTTAAATATATTTACTTGGTATTGTTGTAATACACTTTTTCATTTCATATTTATTGTCTGAGTTAATGGTAGTCTTAATCTTAGTCCATGGTATATGGTGATGTTATGTTCAAAATTAGTTATAAATTATTAGGTTACGTCTGGAGATTTTCCAGACATTCTCAAATTTGTCAAAAACTTTTGTATTGTACAGAGTGGGCGATTTATCATAAATAATTTTAAGTTATTTCTCAGCTAAAAAAATAATTTTATTAATTTGATAACTTTTTCACTTTATTAATGTCTTGAATATTATAGCTGTTTGTAATTGAAACGCTCCATGACTTATCCTATACAATTTCCTTTTTGATCATTAAGGGGCCTCGCAATGGCATTGATTTAAGGAGAATCATTTAGGCAATTTCTAATCTCGTCGTCGCCACCCGAGATCTATGTGTTAGTCGTAAATGATTATTAGTGTGTGTGGCGTCCATGCGGGTCAATTGTAGCTCTCGCACACACATGTCAATATATAATAATATTGTGATCATGAAAAAATGCTTATTTTTCACTTAAACATACGATTCTAATTCCAACAGTACGTCGCAACGATTACCTCAATTTTAATTCTGACAAAATATTCTTATTTTCCACAACATGTACGAGGGATCGATCGAGGCACATTTTAAAAATTGTATTTAGTTAATTAAATATTTAAGTTGGAAATTCTGTATTTTTTTTTGATTTTTTTACAATTTTTATTGCAATTTAAATTACAAAAATTAAAAATGTGGCTCGATCGTTCCCTTGTATATATTACGGACAATCAGAATATCTTTTCAGAATGAAAATCTTGATAATTGTCGACACGTATCGTTGGAATTAGAAACAGTAGTTTTTGACAAAAAAAAGACTTGGTAGTGAGGCCCCTTAAACTTGAGTCATTTCATTTATATTTATGGAGCTACTACAATACTTAACAGAATTCAAATTTGTTAAAAACATGTTGATATAAACTTAATGTTATAGCTTCAAAAATAATTTATTTTTTCTATCACATTCTTCATCTCATCTTATGTCAGTCTTAAATTAATAAAATGTAAATATAAATATTCTAACATTTAAAGCCTATAGTAATGAAACTTTAAGGGTAAGTGAATAGTCTATTTATGAAAATATTCACTGTGAAAACGTAATATAATATTGTTGAATTTATGGGATAGTCAAAGTTAACCAGTGTGCACTATTTAAAAACTAGAATATGCTAGAATTTACGTTAGGTAATTAGGCCGATGCTAATATATATTATATTAATATATTATTATCATATTATATACAAAAATATTTTCAAAAAAAATTTATTTTTATAATTATTAATACTTTTTACACATTATTTATATTAAATTATATTTGAAGTACAATTTTAATTGAGAAAAAAATTAACATTTAATAAATACGTTAAATAAGAAAAAGCATAATTAAAACATTAACGCTCATGTTTCTCTAACCATAAAAATAAAACCTTTATTCAAATTATAGTGTTTATTGTAGTGATAGAAATATTGGTTACAATCTTGTAATCTCAACTAATTGCTTTAAATTGTGTGATTACACATATTTGGTGATAAGTTGTTGTTGCTGTATGTCGTTGTTTATTGTGTGTAATGCAATTGGTATTGATCATAGTTCAACGACGCTCATGAGTATAGAATGCCATGATGTACATTCTAATCAGATGGTCTTTTTTCACCAAATTTTTTGGCATAATCTTCAGCATTTTTAAAAAACTTTTTACGATCTTTCAAGTATTCTTCTGCCAACTCAGCACGTAGAGGATGTTCTGGTTCAGGATCATTGACTAGGGCTATTAAAGCTTGAATAACTGAAAATGTCAAAACATTAAAAAAATATATTTATTATGTTTTACTGATATAGTAGTGAAAAACAAGTTAAAAAAATCATACATACCTTGATCAGCCTTGGTGGCGGGTTTCCAATTTTCAGCGCTTATGATTGGCAAACAAACCTGGCCCTTTTCGTCAATGTTGGGATGATAAATTTTAGTTTTGAAATTGATTTTGGGCGGTTTAAATGGGTACTCGGCAGGAAAATTAATTTCTATTCTAAATGCCCCTTTATTATATGGGGGATTTTCCTGAAACAAATTATGATACAATTAACATTTATTAAGTTTGTATTTTCACTTTTGAATTAATGTTTGACATTAGGTACTATGTTTTAATTTTAAACATAGTTTACAATAAATGTTTATTTTTGATATACTTACAGGTAAAATCAGTCCTTGCCAAGCTAATATGTTTGTTTCATCAACTTGAATATCGCGGAATGACTTAAGTCCAGAATCACGGATATCTGCTAGTTCCTAAGATAAGAAACTAAACTTGTTACATATGATTAATTACGAAACCTAAAAATATATTTACTTAAAAAATTTAAGTTATAGGTACCTATATAATAGTATTGGTTTTCGACACATTTTTTAAATTAATTATCAAAATCTAAAATACTATTACTTAGATAAGTGAATAATAATTTATATATTATATAGTTGAGTGGTGAATGGTCTAATAGGAATTTTTTTTTTATTTCATAGGTTTGGACTATATGTACACAATCATTAATAATTAGTATGAAATGTCTAGAGAAGTATTTTAAAAATTAGCTTATGATTTTTACAAGGGCTACATTTAAAACTATTAACTAAAGTTCAATTCATAATTATCTTCAGCAGTTTTGTTTTATAAAAATAGTATGTTTTAATGGATAAAAGTATAAAACTAAATATTTTAAAGTACCTTTAGATAAACACCAAGATTTAACAAGTTTGACTAATATAACAAAATATGTAATTACCTTTCGATTTATTGAATATTTTAAAGTTATTGCGTACCTATGTAATAAGTAAGGTAATAAATTAATTACATTTTCAAAATTACATAACAATAAATTCATCTTTTTTGTATTTTATGGCAGTAACCTAAATTAATATTCATAAAATTAAAATTAAGGTAATCCTATTATTAACACGTTGACCGCCATGCAGTCTCCATATGCATCATTGGTACGCCAAGCAAATTTTTTAGTGTCATTACAAATTTGTATATATACTAGGTATCAAATTGGAAAAAAAATATTAAAAATATGTTAATTATATCAAAAAATATTTTAATTATTCCCGCTACGCCAGGGCGCATTTTTTAGTTCATTATTGTAGTCCCATGGAAGAGTTAATAATATAAATCCAAATTCATTTACGACAGCTGGCGGCCTAAAAATGATTGATACGTAATTATTTTTATGCGGCCGCCGAAGGCCACATGGCGGTCAATGAGTTAAAAATATAATAGCATAGTTCGCATAGGTATACCTTGTTATATAGGTACTAGGTTGATATAGTAATAATAGTAATCATGAAGCGTTTAAATATATCTTGAACACACTTACTAAAAAAGTTAACTTAAGAAGTTAGATATTATAATATATTATAATAAACGCTATAACAGATGCATAAAATTAAAAATATATTACGAAAACACATAATGAGTAGGTATAATATAAAACCTATGTGGTTATTTGTAAAGATAATGTATATTTATTATATATAGATGTATGTATATTGTTGGAGTGCATGACAATTTTTTAAGCATGCTAGCCCACCTTTAACCCCTTTAAATGCCATCCCTAGTTGCGTTTATACCTTCAAATCTATTTAAAAATTCCAAAAATTTGAATATAGGCACAATGTAAGTATAAACATAAGGTGAGCATGCTTAAAATGCAACTTGTATATCACAATTTGTATGATGCCGTTTTCTACACAAAGCGGAATTAAAATCAATAAATTCCATTATTCTCAATAAAAGATCTATATATTAATATATTATATCCGATAAACAAAAAGCTCTATTTATTTAAATATCTCAATTGTGTATGCAGAGAAAAACCAACTAGGGTCAGTTAGCGTTAAGCGTATCTCTTATATAATTTGGTCAATTCAATGAACGACCATTACCTAAATCATCACAATATAATTATTTTTCCGATCATGTCATAATATGAACGATACATTTGGCGATCAACAGAAACAGATAAATGTTAAGATTATTCAAACAAACGCTAAACCACAGATATAAAATACTATTATATATCTGTGCGCTAAACGGAGTAAACAGTGAATTGAACTGCTGTACGGCTGTACTTCGTATAATAATACGGCTGGTAATACTATACTTTTACAATAAATGTCCCGTCACATACATAAGCAGTTAAGTATTTCTTATATATATATATATATACAATATAGTTTATACGTTTTACAATACGACGTGTAAAATGCATTGTAGCATACTAACTTTTTGAAGTCTCCTCGTGGCGGCCATGGTCTACGGAATATGTTTTCAGACGGTAAACGAAACAACGAAACGGATTTTGTTCACTGTAGAACTTAAAAACGAAGGCCGTGTTCGCAGTCTCGCACTTATACCATATAATCACAGCACGCGCATTGATAGTACAGTATTTTGATTTGTTCGGATGTTTTAAAATAGTTAATAAACCCACGGCGGGCCCTGCGTAAACAACGTCGACTGCTAATATTATACTATCTAATTACTTTGTAGTTTATATTAATATATACCTTTTTTCTAAGAATTAAATTGAGTAAAGATAATTATTAATTACCACCTTTGATAATAGTACTCTGGTGGGCACCAGAATATCGTCCTGGTCTCGACGACTTCACGACTCTTGACTATAGTTTTTTCTCTTTTTTCTCTCACTCTTTTTGTTTTTTTCTTATAATCAGAAAATACACACTCGTCGTCAGTGTAGCCTGGACTGACGGCACTAAATTTCTCCGACGGCAATAATTTACGTCGACTACGACCGCGGCCCTGGGCAGCCTGCAGTCTGCCGTACAATAACACCTTTTCAAGTTTTTAACTCCATTTTGTATTGTTCAACTTACAATTTACAAAGTTACAAGTTACAACTAAGCACGTCTAATTTCTACATTCACACTAAACCATGTAGTCCACGTGGGTACGTGACATGGAATCTCAGGGTATTTTTACGCACTTTTATAGGTTTCACAAATTTATTAGACAAAACAAAGTACTCAACTCCACCCAAGACTCAAGTATTATCCATTTATGTATTTTGATATTTAACCAGCGATGAATAAATAATACAATTTATAATATTCTCTATAAGTAAACGAATACCTAGTGTCCTAGTTAACATTACAATTTGGTAAAAAAAAATATCAATACCTAATAATTAATAACACGCACATTAATCTTGGGCATAAACCCAGTTTAGTGCCCATGTACATTTTTTTTGGAAACCTATTGATATTAAGATGACGATATAAAAACAAATTGGTGGAAATCATTAGTTTTTAAGCTATAGTCTCACTAATATATTGTTTCAAAGACAGCAGTTGAAAAATGTTAAAAATCCAGTCACAATTTTTTTTATAATAACTTAAAGTTCAAATATTGACAAAATAAGTAAAAATGTACGAATTATTTTGAGTGAGAAATTCATAAAAATGTTTCTATTTAAATCTAAGATTTGAAAATGTAATACAAAATTACTCATAAGTTTGTCTACCTTTGTCAAAAAAAAATATCTACAAGCAAATCAAATTACATTTTTATGAGCGTTTGAAGTTCATATTTTTACAAGATAGGATATTCACTCAATTTTTCATGTAACGATTTTGTTATTTTATTGTAATTCAAAAACGAATAACTGTAAATACATGAACATTTTACTGAATGTTTATTTCTTAATTTTCTATCTACCTTAAAATGTTGAAAATATTTTGGCTCTTTTTGAGCTGTTTACGGACATTGTGAGTTTTCAATTTCCTTAGTTTTTTTTTCTATAATTGTCAATACAATTTTATTTGTTGAGTAAAAATGCGTGAAATTTTAAAACAAAGTTCCTGATATATTGTTACAATAGCAGTTGAAAAATATTAAAAATACATGGCCCATTTTTTTTTTTATAAGAACCAAAAGTTCGAATTTCGTCAATATTTATCAAATATAAAATTTAATAATTATTTTGTAGTTAAAATTTATAAAATGTTCAACTTTTATATCTAAGGCGATTGAAAATTTAAAACAAGGTTCCACGTAAATAGGTCATATATAAATTACTTTATTCACATAATAATATCATCAAATATACTTAGTAATATACTAATATCATATGATATATAATATCATTGAATTCAAATTTAATACCATCCATTATACAGTGACCCACTTGTAACCTACTGTACAGCAGACCGACATCCACTTACCCACAATTTAGATTCTGAGTGAAACGATGAATGTATTGATTTTACAATGATGTGTGTTTTTTTTTAGATTCTGAGCGGAGCGATGAATTTATTGGTTTTACAATGATGTGTGTTTTTATATTTTTATATTTTTATATTTTTATATTTTTATATTTTTGTGTCTGTCATCCCGTTTTGGGACAGTAAAAGTGCTTCGATTTTCTTCAATAGTACCTTTTCTGATAGGAAAGTGAATCTAGTTGGTACTTTGGGGGGTCAAAAGTAAACATTTTCCAGTAGTTTTCACAAGCGCCGGGAAAAACAACATAAAAATTAAGGAAAAACGGGAATTTTTAGGCAAAATCGATTTTCCAAAAAATCGAATTTGGTTTTTGGTGTAACTTTAAAACAAATGACCGTAGATACATGCAATTTTCACTGGTTGTTTATATTTGCATTTTCTATACACGATAACATTTTCAAAATATTTTGATTTATTTTGAACTGTTTAGGGACATTTTCATTTTTCATTTTTTTTTAGTTTTTTTTCTAGAAATATCAATAAAATTTTATTTGTTCGTTGCGAAAGCTTGAAAATTTAATAGAAGGCTCCTACTATATTGTTTCAAAGACAGATGAAAAATATTAAAAATCCTTAGTCACAATTTTTTTTATAACCATTTAAAGTTCAAAAATTGACAAAATATGGAAAAATCACGAAAATTAGCAAATTATTTTGAGTTAAGAATTCGTAAAAATTTTTCTTTTTAAATCTAAGATTTGAAAATCTAATACAAGATTACTCATAAGATTGTCTACCTTTATCAATAAAAAAATCTCTACCGGAAAGTCAAATTAAATTTTTATGAGCGTTTGAAATTCAAATTTTTACAACATTGGATATTCACTCGATTTCTCAAGTGGCAATTTCCTTTTTTTGTTGTAATTAAAAAACGAATTACTGTAGATACATGAAAATTTCACTGAATGTTTATATTAGCATTTCCTATACACCATACAATTTTGAAAATATTTTGACTCTTTTTGAGCCGTTTACGGACATTTTCAGTTTTCAATTTTTTTAGTTTTTTTTTTCTATAAATATCAATTAAGTTTTATCTGTTGGGCCAAAAAGTGTAAAAATTTAATACAAGGCTCCTGATATATTGTTACAATATCAGTTGAAAAATATTAAAAATACATAGGCACAATTTTTTTTTATAAGCATTTAAACATCGAATTTTGACAGAATTTTTCAAAATCTCGAAAATTATTAATCATCGTAATTAATAAATTATAAAATGTTCAGTTTTTATAGCTAAGGATTGAAAATTTAAAACAAGATTCCACGTAAGTAGTTAATTCTCTTACCGAAAAATCTAAAAAATATACAATCACAGTTTATTTTTATAGTCATTTTATGTTCAAATTTGGACGAAATTACATATTAAAAAACCTAGTTATTTTGTTGTGATTATATAATATTTTTCGTTGGTACCTACTTGAAACTTCTAAAGTGTACTATTATATATCTATATTCTATGATAGTATCAGGGTTTGTTATTGATGTTGATGTATAACGTGTTATAAGTACCTAATGGATATTGTGATAATGTGATATGATTAATTTGGAATTTATTAAAGGTCAATTTTTTTTTTAATACCATAGATATGTATATAATTTGTCTTAAACCTAGACTGATATACCGTCTTCGCTCAGAATCGTTTTTCTTATACAATGATATTGAATCATTGAATTCAAATTTAATAGCATCCATTATACAGTGACCCACTTGTAACCTACTGTACAGCAGAGCGACATCCACTTACCCACCTTTTTTAATTTTATTATTATTGTATTTTTGGAATATTTATAACAATTCATTAACTTTGTATTGTATATTGTACTGTGTATTTGGTGTGTAGTATAAATATAAATTTTGAACGGACTTTTATTCGTGGACTTTTATTCCGGCGGACTTTTTTTACCGGACTTTTTTTCGTCGGACTTTTTTTCGCCGGACTTTTTAGTACAATACCTATAATAATAGGTGTATTAGGAAATATGAAATAATATAGTCTCCATTCTCCAATCACCAATTATAATAATTTTATAAATTAATAATAAATAAGTATAGGTACTTATACACTTAAAACTTATAAAGTTAACTTATATGGTTAAGGTTAAACTTATTGCATGGAATATTTGCTTAAAAAGAAATTAGTAAATTTGTTATTTGACAGGTTTCTGTTTTGTTTTAATGTTTTTCATTGAAAAAATTGGGAAAAGATATTTGTGTATACGGTAGGTATCATAAATTATTGAATTCCTATTATTATTACAAAACTACTGAATACTGATATAAATATATGATTAAAATTAACTTCTGAGTATTTAGATCCAATTATTATGCACGTACTTTTGAGTCATACCTTGTTATAAAAAAAACGTTCAGTCATATAAATATGTAGCACATTACATTGTATTGCTGTATAGTGTATATTATATTGTAATGGTGTTGATCCGTTCAAATTGCTAGAATACGTATACGTTCCACCTATGGACTATGACTCATCAGATGTAGTTACTATAGAAGCCAACCTACATCGCTACAGATCACTAACGGAGTGGGAGGAAAATATTATAACTTATTAAGAGACATACATAAAGACACATACACTCAATGTACCTTGAAGTAGTTGAAGTTGTACACCTAGTGTGGAACGTTCCAGTGCACCATAATAATATTGCGATTCAGGAAGTCGTTTTTTAACAAATTACCATTGTGTACCTATATATTTTGTAAGTACATTAAAAATAATTTACTTTAACATAGGATACTTTATAATATTAATAGTAGTAATTAATAAATTAAATGTATAAATATATAAATAATACAGATTAGAGATGAATGATGATAAATAAATGTATATTTTGATTTTTGAATACCCATCATCTAAATCCACACAACTATTAACGAATAGAAAATGTTAGTTGAAAATCTGTAGCCATGTAATTTTACAAGTAACAATATTATGCTATTCCTTATTTCCAATAATATTACTAGAATTATTTTTCATTAAAAT